TTTTTCGCAGGAAGACGAGCGATATCTGCAGGAGTGCAGAGGAGGTGTAGAGGAGCCATGCTGACCGCTGCCGTTCCCTAAACACGGTCCATGCAACACCGCCGCCACACACAGACCGGAAGGAGGAACTCTGTGGGGATTTGAATCCCTCCTGGGAGTTTGTTTGTGTGCGTGCGTGAGTGTGTGCGTGCCATCTGTGGCACGGTGTGTTGGCACTGCAGTGTGTTTACTGTACTGCTATGTGTGTGTGTGCGTGTGTGTGTGTGCCTGTAATACGGCGGCCATTTGGAAGCGTGTTTATATTTTTCAAGGCAACACTGTGTCAAATGCTGCAAATGATATGAAGCATTTAGCTCTGATGTTCTGGGTAAATCGACAGTGGAGTTTAATAGATTTTAGCACTTTACCCCTAACAGATTGCTTTGTCTGAACACACACACACAGACACAGAGACAGACAGACAGACAGACAGACAGACAGACACACACACACACACACACACGCACACACACACAGAAGGGTAGTGCATATGGAATACAATCATGCCGAAACTGTAACAAAGGAAAATCATTAACTAGTGTTGGGGTAAACTAAATGTAGTGATTTTACTATTTCTTCCAATTTGTATTACTACTTTTCTAGTATATTTTTTAGTGGTATAATTTGATAAAACACTACATTAGTTTTATGTCACAATGTATTGCACATCAGTGAGTTGAGGCAAAAATTCATGAGTGAATTGATTCACTTCGATCGTTAATTTCAATCAGGGTTATTAAACTAGGGTTATTATTAAAAGTAAAACTATATATATAACTATTAAAACGTATATAAAACTATTTCAGCTAGTTGCCAATGCAACACTTCATTTAGTTTCTGTTGAATTACCAAAACAATTCAAACTGAAATAGAATTAATAAAATCTATATAGATGTATTAAAGGGGTCCTATTATGCTTTTTCACTTTTTTAATTTTAGTCGGTGTGTAGTGTGTATGTTTGGGCATAAAAAAGATCTAGAAAGTTACAAATCTCAAAGCACAACATGAGGGAGTACAGTGCCTGCTGGATTCGCCCAAAAAGCTTTTGTTGAAAGACGAAGCAAGGGGCGTTGCAGTACTGAAACACTGTCTAAGCTGTTCGCCAATCACAACGCACTGGGACAACTAACCAATCACAACACATTTTGTTTTTCGGAAGGTGGACCTTCATCAAAGCCGGAACTATCTATCTTTATCTAATACTATTTTTATCTTTAATTATTTGTTAAGAAATTTCAATGTAGTTAGCTCCTTTTGTTTGTAACTTACTGCAACAACTTTATCAAAAGAGAAGCTTCACTGCAGTTTAGCTACTTTATTAATTTACAGCCTCCTATCAATAACACACTATGATGTCATCCCTCAAAATCATCTGCCCATTTACATGCATGCGCAGTTCATTAACCCTGACAGCAGATCTGACCCACAGCACTATTTTAAAACACACTGGCAGCGGTGTAAATGAGCAGCGGTGGCTGTGTACCGGTGCTTGTGCGGGGGAAGAGGGATCTGCACAGCCTGGGAGGGGCTGGCAACCCACTAATGAGGTGTGAAATGTAATGTACGACTGCATTACAGGACAGGTGAGGGAAGGGGACGTGATTCTATCGGCCGCTGCTTTGGGGATTGAGGTCCTGTCAAGATTTTTATTCCCCAGCGTCCTGCAGTCGATGAATCACAGAGGGTGTGCTGTCACGTACACGCTGCCAATTTATGACTTTTGTGAGGTCGGGAAGATGAGGGACTTCCTGAAACTTTATGCATCTGAGTTATGAAGGGTATCAGACTGGGGTGGGTGCTATGACGGCGGTATAGACTGTATGACGACAGTAATGTGTGCTGCTATACCATTTATACCACGGTAGACACATTTGTGGGGTACGATTGAGCAGGACTGCTTCAAGTCATAATTTAAGTCAGTGAGAGCGATGAAGAAACACGCAGTAATGCGAAAATACAGAGTGGGAGCTGACCAAACAAGCTAAGACAAAGAAGAATGAGCTTCTAAAGAATAAGTTTTACTGTTTTGCTTGCTGTGTTTCAAAATGTAAAGCAGTTTTTGCATAAATGCCAGAATTTGTTTTTACAAATAATTATTTCAATCGGATTAAAAAAAAAAAAAAGAAAACTTTTTAGAATTATTTGTTATAAACATTTTTTTGATGAAAATAATTAAGAATACAATAAAATAATTAATTTTTTTAAAATAAATTATTTTGATGAGATAATTATTAAAATAAAATAAAATTTAAAAAAAAATTAAAAAATAAAATACTTTTTGGATTATTTGTTATAAATAACTTTTGATAAAATAACTAACAATAAAATACAAACTTAAAATAAATTATTTTGATGAGATAATTATTAAAATAAAATAAAATTTAAAAAAAAATTAAAAAATAAAAGACTTTTTGGATTATTTGTTATAAATAACTTTTGATAAAATAACTAACAATAAAATACAAACAAAATAATAAAATAACAATAATAATAATAATCATTCCTTTTCTGGGTTATTTGTTATATATAATTTTTGATAAAATAATTACTAATAAAAGTATACAAAAAAATTTGTTTTAAATAATTAAATAAGCAAAACATATTACCACATAGCTGTCTGATACATAAATTGTTTTTGTTAAATTTCAGACAAAAATAAATAATATATTGTGTTACACACCATTACAGTGATATAAAATTGCTTTGTGATAAGATTTTGGTCTTACCGCCCACCCCTAGTCTTAGCACGCGCGCACACACGCTTTGAGTGTCTGTATCTGATGGTTTTGCCTTTAACTGGACTATTACAGTGTGCAGCAGACCGTGATCACGAGCTCTCAGCTCTCAAGATTAGATTACTGTACTTTGAAAGGATGTACTTAAATCAAAGCGTCGCAGTCTTTATAAAAGACTTCGCTCTAGATCGTACAGCACATATTTCTTTGAAATATTACACTCCATTCTCTCTGTAAAGCATTACACAACACTTCCCATCTCAGATACCACACTGAGCATCATAAAACACTATACGAAATCGATTTTAAACTATTATATTTATCCCTACACTTAAGCAAGAATACGATGCTGGGAGGAACACTCTTCCATTAACAGCCACAAACTAATTGCATTTGTTTGGTGAAGCCATCCGCAGACGGACAGACGCTTCCGCTCCGGCGGTCTGAGGAAGGGGAGGATGAGAGGGGGAGAGGATGAGCGAGGCACAGGACGGACGGACAGACAGACAGAAAGAGGCGATTTTGCTGATTTTCGCTAAAATTTCATGACCCCCAGAATATTTTGTTGTATGAATATCTGAACATGCAACACGTCAAAATAAAGATCAGACCCTCTACTTTCAAACATAAAAATCTGTTTTATTCTAGCTTCAAGCATTGTTGAATGTAGGTAGGTTTCATTAAAAGAGCAACATTTTGAGCAAAAAGCTGAGAAAATCACTCTGTAACATTAGGCAGTTTTCATTTATATGCGGTTAGTGTTGATACTGTGTTTTTGATCGGCACTTTCTAGACTCATTCAGGAGATGCGTAATAGCGCCCCCGAGCATAAAACAGTGAAAACACTGAAACCCGGAAAATTCTGTGTTTGGCAGGGAAAGAGTTAAATAAAGCTGTAATAAAATAAGATACAGTGCACAGCATAAATGAGTACACCCCCTCTGAATAAATATAAAAGATGTATTTTCTTAATGATCACTAATATAATTAATATAATTCATGGAAAGATGGCAAAATTGAAACATATTAAACATATACTTAATAAAAACAACAAAATATATGCCAATATTTTCTGTAAGATAAGTAAATTAGCCAATTTTGTTTAAATGAAGGATTGCAGAAATGAGTACACCCTAGATTTAATTCAGAAAATGTATAATATTATAGTACTTAGTATGTCCTCCAGAACTTAAAGTACACTGCTCTGACCCTTCTTGGCACTGAGTGTACAAGTTCATGACAAATTTTCACATCTGTGCTGTTTAACTCCTGGAGGACGAGCTCCTTGAATGCCCTGGTCTTTAATGAGGAGTGTTGCTCAGCTCGTCTCTACAGAATCTCTCACAGCAGCTCAAGAGTGTTAAGATTGAGTGAAATACATGTCCACTGAAGGATTTTCACCTTAGGAGAATTAATATATTAAAAAAAAATGCCCAAAAATGCAAGGAATGAGGGGAGGGTAGCATCTTCAGTTTCAAGTTTTTGTATTACATCACACAGTAGTGTGTGAATTCATGCCAGCATTGATAACTCTTTTTCTAGCAAAAATTCACTCATCACTAAATGAAAGCTTAAAGTGAAGACCTGATTATTTCAGGAGCCTTATCACAAGTCCATTGTTTTTTAATGTTGGTGCTACTTCTACTATATTTTCACACTTAAAACAATAATTTGGTATCCTTTTGTACCATTGTCCTCTTTTATGCTAAGAAATAAGTCACCTGGCAGTTCTCTCCCAAGTGGTTCCACTGCTGCCAGCATTAAGTCTGAGTATGATTCAGTGGGCTATATAACACTTTTAATTGTCAGGAAATTACTTGTCTTTAAAAGTTTTGGTTCAATATACTTACCTGTTGATCAAAAATAGCCTTAAACCTACAGTATACACTTTTTTTGTTTTTTGTTTTATTTAGTAACTTTCAGGAGGGTGTACTCATTTTTGCAACACAACATTTTATCACTTTGATAAGAAAATCTTATTTTTCTGAATAATTTTGGCATTCTTCTTTGGTAATTGATCAAGCAGGCTTGTTGGAACATTACATCTCCAAATAACCCTAACATGTCTTCTAAGTAAAGAGTAATTGCTGAATTTGTTAACTTTTAGAGGGGGTGTACTCATTTATGCTGTGCACTGTATAAATACTAGAGCAAAAACCTAAAACGTAAGAAAAATGTTTGGGAAAAAAATAGAAATGTTAAATTAAAAACTTAGAACAGCTTGGCTAAGTAAATGTCAGATTCTAGTAAATTTGGACTTCATGTTGACTTTAAAGTAAAACCTATCATTTGTACTGACTAGCAAAAGCATGTTTGTGTGTGTGCTAGAGCAGGATAAATAATCCAGCTTCAGGTCCATCATTGGTAGATATGAATTAACAGTGGAAAAGGACCAGTGTGGTCTAGTGATCTAAACACTCATGGGTCTCCAAATCCAACGGACCCATCACTGTTCAGACCACCAGCACGGTTCTGTTATAGTCAAGTGTCAATCTACATGTATGTTACACAGAGGTAACAAGATATCAGGAATGATCAACAGTGTGACACAAGACTACAGGAGGAAGATGATGGGTCACAAAAACACCAATGAGCCAAAAACATGCGACTACGCCAACATAGAGCTCGGGAAACGGGTGCTTTTAGTGTGCACTTGTGTGTGTGTGGTTTAGTGTGCTTGAAAGAGATGGAAACACTGATAAAACAAGTGCCAATCCTCCTCAGAATTACCATAGAAACTCATTCACATAAAGAAATATATGTTGAAGATCAGGCATGTGGATTCATGCCATCAACAACACACACATCTACAGGAAAACACCAACTACAGAACCTGGAAGGCATGGAACACATTCCCATTAGAACACCAAACACGAAGGAATCACATATGAGGCCACCAGGAAGAGGAGGAGGAGACAGGGAGACTCATGGGATATGTAGTACCTTCAGTGAGGCACGAGAGTAGGCCGGCACCCCGCTGTCGTATTTCCCTGAGATTATCCCACAGGCCAGCGGGGACCATGTCATCGCACCCACACCTGAGAAGACAGGTCAAACCCCATTGAAAAGATGCATCTGGTCAGTGTTTCTGTGGCTTGAGCGACAGCAGCATCACTCACCGATCTTATGGAAGAGCTCTGGAAGCTGCACCTCCACCTTCTCCCTCTGGAACATGTGATACTCCGACTGTTCGCAGATTGGTGGGATCTGGTTGAACTGTCGGGCCACAGAGTATGCTTCCTACAACACACAAGCAAAATGATAAGGTTAGTGTTACGTATGAATGCAGCGCCATCTGAGCCAAAACTGAACTTAAAAAGGTAAAATCATGGAAAACGGGATTTCTCTTGCTCTTTTTTGATGAAATGTGTGACAAAATTCAACACTCCCTCCCCAGTCCATCTGGACCATATATGTATTGAAACTAAACTGTAAATCATCAACTGCACCTTTTTAGTCTGAAATTAATGTAATGGGGGAGGGAAAACAACTTATAATACACACACACACACACACACACACACACACACACACAAAATGAACAACAATTCACAAACACAAAAAAATGTCTTTGTCCATGAAAAAGTCCTTTAACTCAGGGTTATTATAGATAACAAAAACTAAAACCATGAAAGGAACAAAAAAATAAATAAAATAAAAATTCGGTTACCTCAAATAAACTTTAACTAAAATAATAGGGGAACTTCCGGTTAACTTCCAGTTCTGTGTTTGTTTATCGGTCTGGCTAGTGGCGCTGACTACAAATGCAGTTAAAGTTAAGGTGATGAGTAGACTGAAGTTGGACTCAGGTTGTTGTGCTGTGGGATGTGTTTCCCATACATTGATTTATTTGTGGCGGCCCGTCACAATATCAAAACTGACCACCACAACTTCGTTGAATAAACATGAGCACTGCACATTTCAAAATCAAAATGCGGCACGGGTGTTTTTATATCACTGTATCTCTGAAGGAAACCGACTGCCTTCCGAAAATTTCCGATGACATTTTCATTTCATCTCGCATGTAATGCCTGATAAAGCAGTGCTTGTGAGCGGAGCGCTGCTTTGTGTACAGCCGTTACCGGGGAAACCTCCATCGAAAACATACTTTGCTTGTTATCAGAAATAATCTACTCTAGAGGGACTTTGCTGTTGTTATTGATTCTTTGCGGAAGTCTATCAGAAGTTAAGTTTGGGCCACAAAAGTGCGCATGCGGAGTAACGTTTGTTTATGTTGTTGACTTTGAAACCATCTATACATAATTTAGTTTAATGTGATGTACTGTACTAAAAGAACTAAAACCAAAATAAAAATCTATAGACATTTTTAAAAAATCTAAAATTCTATACAAAACTAAAAATCTATATAGACATTAAAAAATGTAATGCTAAACACAAAAAATACTAAAGCTTTAACTAAAACTAAAATGAAAATACAAAATACAAAAAATATATATAATAGTATCTCTATGATACTAAAATAAGACACTTTAACACAAATTACTCCTTTGAGCCAGGTCTTTGAATCTGTTTTATGAACAAATGACTCTTATGAATGAGATCTTTGAATCTAAGGTCAATATAATTATCAAGTTTTAATCTATAAATATCTGGACTTGACAAGTCATAAAATAGATAAAAACAACTAAAATAACATACTGATAATTGTCATTAATTTATTAAAAAAACAAAAAACATTTGATTTTGAGAAGTCAAATTTAAATCACTGCATCTATAACAAATAAGACAATTATCATGTCACTGATTAGTAAAACAATGATAATTATAAAGTGACACTAATCTATACAAACCTCCCTGCTCCCACAATATGAAAAATCATTCACTGCAGCCTTGCAATCAGGTCACCCAATTTAATAAACAAAATTTCCCTAGACTACACTTGGATTCTTCTGTCAAAACAACAGAACGCTTTTCGAATTATCAGTCCATGTAAAATTCGGTAAATGGTGGAACATTATCAGACTTAATTATTGGGTGATGGGAAAGAAAACCAAATTATGTACAACATGTTACGCATAACTAGACAAATGAGTTGTGACTGACGAGGCATCATTGAACACAAACAACAGATTGTCTTTTAACATTCTGTCAGTGTAAACGTTTTGTCTGACTCAGTGCAGTGCTGTTTTAGATCTCCGATCTGCCCAGTATTTAAGGTTAGACTGTCTCACTGACAGCACCTATTTAAACAGAAGCATCTTTAGATTCATCAAGAGTTCTTCAGGAACAAAAGCAGCCGGTGCCGAAGCTGATTACAGGGGTGCAAACATCGAAAAGTTAGGAGACTGTGACTCACCATGATTTCCATCGGACTCCAGCGTGATGTTCCCCAGTACATCGCCATTCCCTGATTGATCACATGGGTCATCGCCCGCACAGTCTCTGCCAATCAGACCGCAGATTTTCAGAGATTTACAGCACCATACATCATATCACGCTGCCATCAGAATGTGTCGGTACGGGTGAACGTGTGAAATATTAACAAGCAAAAGAAAACAAGCTTGATTAATGCAAGGGAGGGGAGTTTAAATGATAAATCGCTTCTGGATCAAGCTGAAGAATTTGAATCAATACGACTAAGACAAAATAAACAACTTGTGCTTCGGGTCAATATCAACCTCGGCTCAAGGAAAAAAAAAAAAAACACTTCAAATGAGGGCTGGAAAAGATCCATCCTTAATAATCAACACCAGCCGTGTCAAAACATCAGTCTTATGAGCTTGAGAGTCATTTACTGCTCTCACTTGACTACCGGTATATGAGATCTGTCTAAGAGCGCAAGAGAGAAGCAGACTATTGAAGTATCAAGCTCTTTAATGACAAGAAAAGCAGATGTCTACAGACCCCTGAGCTGTTTGTGTTTCAACCATTGAACTGTGTGAACTTTCTAAAGGGCAGCTAGGCTAATAAATGTAGATCAAATAACATTTCTGCCTTGCTTTTAAAAGAGCAGCCACCCTTTCTCCCGAAAACATTGGTTGAGATTTAATTCAGGCTGGCGTCTTACAAAAGGCCAAATGGGAAAATTGCAAAGATCTTGCTTGCACATGATTTGAAGAATCAGTCTGGAGCACAAACAGCACATGAGTTATAGTAGAGTTTAAAGGGGACCTACTATGCAAAATTCACTATTGCATGGTGTTTGGACATAAATGTGTGTTGGAAGTGTGTGTACACACAACCACCTTATAATGATAAAAATCCACCCACTTCTTTTTTTTTAATCCCCATAAATCATAAGCAGTGTCTCCCAACTACCTGTTTTCCGACTTGGTGCTAATGTGACGTCACATTAGCCACAGGCCCCGCCCACGAATGTTGACAGACACTGCCGTTTTAACATAGAACCGCCCTGAGCGAGTTCACACACAGCGAGTTGTACACAGTCCGCCATTGCTGCACTGACGAGAATGTCTCCCAAGTGTTTTAGGTGTTCTGTAGGTGGATGTATGAATCCACATAGCTCTCTCCTTATTCCCGAAATCTGAGCCGCTGAAGACAAGGTGGATTAATTTTGTTTTAGAAGAAAATGCTCCCTCAACTCTACCGAAATTCGTTTATGTCTGCGCGAATCATTTTACACCGGACTGCTTTGTGAATGAGGGTCAGTATAAAGCAGGTTTTGCACAAAAGTTGCTCCTGAAGGATGGAGCAGTGCCAACTGTTCGTGATCCAGCTACACCTCCAGAAGAAATAAGTATCACGCATTAGTTTTCCAAATTGCCTTTCTGAAAGACCTTCTTGGCACTTTGTAAGGCTAATGCTGCTAAAGCTACAATTGTCTGTCTGTTTTTACTGATGTTACCTTCACGTGCTACCAGAATGATCGTGAATAGGAATGTGGGAGTTAAAATTGCATATGAAAGCAATGTGAAGTCGACCGCTGGAATTAGTCGAGCTCATAATCACAAGTGGGGCTTATAAAGTTTGTAATAGCATGCGATGGCACCATGAGTTATTTTTATCGTGCTGTGCTCCTGTCTGTGTAATTCATAAAGTGCATTTTTTTATGCACAGTACAATCAGATGACTGACTTTTAAACCGAGTGTGTTTTCTGTAAATATAACAGGCTTGTACAAATAGTGGAGTGTTTATTTGCAAAGGTTAACACCGGTATTGCTGGAGCTTGAGCTCTTGAAGCTCCGCCCTCTTCTCCGGGAGCACCAGCTCATTTGCATTTAAAGGGAAAGACAAAAACGGCGCGTTTTGGCTCATACCCTAAAAGTGGCAATTTTAACAAGCTATAAAAAATTATCTGTAAGGTATTTTGAGCTAAAACTTCACACACACACACTGGGGACATCAGAGACTTATTTTACATCTTGTAAAAAGGGGCATAATAGGTCACCTTTAATATTTAAAGGTTTAGAGCAAATTAATTGAGATTGAGATGTACCTTCCATGGGTGTGTTGGGGTCTGGTCTGTTTGCAAACACTACGTCCACATACTCTAACTGCAGTCTCTCCAATGATGCCTTCAAACCTACCGAAGAGTAACACAAATCAATTCAGCACACGATTAATTGAATGAACGAGGCATTTAAAGCAGTTCATGTCAGCTGCAGCTCTGTAACATGTAAGCTTTGAGGTCCACTCACCTTCTATAATGTGTTTTCTTGACAGTCCTCTCTCAGTCTCTGCTCTAGAAAACAGCAGTATATGTTGTTGCAATGGTTATGCAATTATCATTGACGCCAACTTTAGTAAATTATATTGCTAAGACATTACTTGGTTTAATATTAGAAATGAGGCCAAATTAGTTTATTCAATTCAAAATATAACACTATTTCAAAGACTTAAGTGTTCATATACCAGAAGTAAAAAGCAACAGCTACATTAACTCACAAGTGTAACATTAAAGCTTCAGAAGTATTGTTTGCATAATGCCATGATTTATTTTATAATAAATATTAAACATACATACTTTCCACCCCAAAATATTTTGGTTGTAATGACTAAACTGGAGCGTCTGCAAAAAAAAAAAAAAAAAAAAAAGGGCACACTTT